GCATCAGTGGGATGCACTGCCTTTGGGGAACAGAGGTGGCACCTGCCCTTAGGCCACAGCACAGAAGGGCCAGGGTTGGGAGAAGAATGGAAAGATGCACCCCCTGAGTACTGGCCCCCAGGCCTCCCAAATAGAGAAGTCAAGCTATGCCTATGGTTGCACTGTGATTGTCATGAGATGGAAATTACATTCTGACCAGTATGGTGAGAGCAGGGTCCCCAGGACCCTTAGAGAAAGAGGGGAAGGGAGCCGGGAGCTGTAGTTTCATCACAGTCTCGCTCTCCCTTGTTTACAGTACTCTTTTTCAAATGGTTTTTGTTCCCACTGCTTGCTGCAGTTGGCCATACAGAGCAAATAGGCTTCATTTCTCCCTGTCTAAAAGCAAGCTTTTAAAAATGAAATTTGAAGCTACTAGCCAAGGTTAATGATCAGACGTTTTATCTTGGCCCAGTATATGTAACTAACAAATGATCAAACACACAAACTTTTGAGCAATTCACAGTCCAATAGCTCTGAATATTAAAAATGCCTTGAAAGTACAAGTATTCTACAGCTTGGTCTGAGGCCAGCCCAGCTTCCTTTCTGTCTTATTACATTGAGTGTGTCTTTGTTTCACAATGTCAAATCTAACTAGATTTATTTCAGTTCAATTCAATGTAAAAAGAAGCTACCCTAAGGTGTGTCAATCACGCATTCTAAGATTATAAACCCTTCATTCATCGTCCTTCCTTTTGAAAATATCATTGCATCATTGCCATATGAACGGATAGCAACAGGGTGAAACAGAATGAAAGATGCTACCAGTTTAAACTGGCAGACAAAGAGTCTGAGGCTGCTAAAGACACTGCGCCATAATATAATGGTGTGTTGTAAACAGTATTGCCGTGTGACATAAGCACTAGACACAAGAATGCGGGCAAACTGAAAAAAAGTCCAGGCACATAGAGACCAGAACCAACCTGAAAACAGATGGTGTGTCCTGCTGTAGGCAACGGGAAAGGAGAAGTCCTTCCAGTCCACACATGCAAAGCACTAAGCATCAGTAGTGGCATAAACACAACCACAAAACGAGGACGACAAAATTTACCGAGAAGACAAATGCCCAGTTGTATTTGATTCTAGTGCTTTGTCAGGAAAGCATTCAGTTCAATGTTAGGTACAGTGGCTAGAAAGTCATTCTGCACTATTTTTTCCATTAATTCAGGCCTTGTGCATAGTAACATGGATATAACATGCATACAGATGAAAACCCAGCATTTATGGGAAAGTATTTCATGGTGATTTTTCTGCTTGTCAGTTTATTTATCCACTGCACTTTGTTAGAGAAAAACAATTCACAAATTCCAGGGTATTCAAGTTTATATGTCTGTCCTCCTTGCCCCTGTGAGTGTGTGTGTGTGTATATATATTTATATATTGCACATATTTAAATTAACATGGCAATAAAGAATCTATCCCTGCAATGATACTATATTCATTAAAAATTTCTTCGCCCTAAAGCACACTGAAGTTTACTACTCCTAAAACAGATTATCATAATCTCCACTTTTAAAGAAACAATGTTAACACAATTATCTACAATCACTTTAGTCCCTCTTTATAACCTTAGAGGAGTTCTTACAATATGGCATGAGAGCCCCAGGGAATTTGCCTGTGTTGTGGGCTTTTCAGCCAGTGCTTCTATATTTGCACTGGGGAGAACTTTGTTTTAATTGAATTTCCTTAGCATTGCCGAGCAATTGCAATAAACTGAAAACAAATCTGTATTTAATTAAATGAATAGTTTTTTTCAAAATAACAGAAATATTTTATAGGCTTCCTGAACATGAAGCCATGATTCTTACCTACACCTTGACCTTATTTTTGTAACTAGATAACATGGCTCAATGGATGTTCATATTCCTAACCTTCCTTCCTTCTCACCATGAGCCATCCATTGTCCTTAAATGGTCCAAATTGCTCAAAATGATGTTAGTGTTGCATTTATATATATATATATATATATACACATACTAGCTGGATTGTCCTGTGCTCTGATCATTAGATCCAACTGCTTACATGCAAAACCAAAATAAAGCTCATTTGAAAACTCCCTCCCCTCCCGAATAATTTGTAATATTGTGTGCCAACTGTGAACAGATACAGTACATGCAAACAGATAGCAGAACAGTTAATAATGTACGTGTTAAAAGTGTCAAGTCAGTGAACTTTTTGTCTAAGAATAAAACCTTGTCCCAGTTGCTGTTTGCTCGTTAAGGCTCAGCAACATATCACTGCATTTCTTACCTGTCCGACAGCAGTCCTGCTAAACCGTATTGCGTAGTGTCGGGAGTTTAGAGGGACTGAATGCATAGGGAACAATTCCAAATGTACAGGGAGTCTGTGCATCTCTTTGGGAAGTTCTTGGTGTCCTTGGAGTTGAAGTCTGCTGTCTGAAGAGGAGATAGGCAGGGATATAAGAACAGACTGCTGCAAGGGGCCTAATCCCGTTGTCCTTGGCCAGGCCAGACTCCCATGGAAGTGTCCACAGGTTGCAGGGCTGGCCCAGAATAGGGACTAATGTACCTTTGCGGTCTTTCTCAGCAGCTTTAGAGGCAGTCTCCTCCAGACACTGGCTCTGCCTGTGCAGCTCCCCGTCTGGTCTGTGCATCCCTTCAGCTCACAAATGCCTGATCTTGCAGGCTATGCTGAGTGTTTCCCAGAGTTTGCCCGAACAAGGACGCTGCAATTTTCTCAATACAAAGGTGCTGGCAATTTCTAGACAGGGATTTTCCCCCCACAGCCAACTCTGGGTTTGAAAGCCAACATTTTGTTTTCTGTGTAATGTCCATCCCAGGATTCCTGAAGGCCCCCGGAGTCCTGTTTCTCCATCCGGAGTGTTTGTTGGACCCTGAGTCATTTCTGATCTGCAGCACATGGGGATGCAGTCCGTGCTTGCTGTCCCAGGAGTTACAGCAGTGTCAAACATTGTCAAAGATGTAGTTAGTCTAATCTTATTTATAACATTAGTGGGGTTGACCAGCAATCAGATAATGCATAGGCTGTTTCTGTAAAGATGAGGGTCCCCATGGCACAACAAAGGTAGATCAGACTTTATTCCTTTGTAGATGTTTGTTTACATATGGACATTAAGTGGAATAAAATTTTACAATTCCTGAGACCTTTTTTGATCAAAATCAGAATATCTAGAGATCCTGATATTCATTTATTTTTACAGATACCAAATAGATTTTCAAGCACATCGTGTGCTCCTAGGTGAGCACAAAATCACACAGAACACATGTTTATTTAACTCTAGGGAGAGGTATGTGCATTGTCCTGGAGCTGGTGGACTGCCGGCTCTACAGTATCACAGACCCACTCCTCCTTGGGACGTGCAGATTCCCATTAACTCTTGCTAAACTATTTGACCAAATGGAATTGTTTACTGGGTATATGAGCAGGCAGAGCCGTGTGTGCAGCTGTTTAAAGTGAACATAGCCCACTTTGTATTAGGCAACCACTTAAAGGAGAGATTGAAGAATATTTTCTTATTTAGAAAACATTACGGACCAGAGTGGTAAACCAGGATTTTTCTCTCAAATCAATATGCTGTTACTTCGTGAGTTGTGTCACTTCAGTGAATAAATTCTGACACATGCTAAATTAAAAAAATACAAACGAACATAAATCCACCTTCAGATTAATGGATTGAAACATACTGTAGCACATTTGGAATTTTTTCAGCTGTACCATTTACAATATCAAATGTTCTGGAATAAATACAACAAACATTCAATCGAAAAGCTCTTGTAAATCTGAAAAGAAAAGACCTTTTCATCCTATGCACTAGAGTTTACTTTTAGCTGTATTTAATGTGTCCCTCAGAGAAAACATTATTAGTGGTAATAATGTCAAACTTAATTGCTTTTCAAGTAATTCCGGCAGCTCAACAGTTAACAGCCAATAAAAAGCCCGCCTGTGTGCGAATCTAGTCCTTTCAGCCATGCACTAGACATTAAATTTTGGGAGGACAATTAAGTAGAGTTAACTGTTGCCTATTCTCCCCGAGGTAGCTTCCCTTTTGATCCTGCTGCGCCTGGCGCCTTCCAAAACATAATTTGTCTGCCTTATTAAAATGCTCCAACTTATGGTGAAGGATTGCCCGGTGCTTTTCAAATGAAGCAGCAACAATCAGAAGGACCAAGACGAGCTGCACGGCAGAAAGACTAGGACCAATGTAATAAATTAGCAATTACCGTGGTAAGTAAAATAGGAGACTGAAAGTCGCAGCAAAGTTCAAGAAAACTGAGCCGGGGGGGAGGGGATTTAAAGAACAATTCCCAGTCTGAAAAACAGCAAATTAGCCCCTGGAGCAGGCGGGGCTCCCAGCCTTCGCTGCTGGCAGACTGGGGGGCTGCCAGGTTTGTGGCTAGTGAGGGGCTGATGAAATAAATGTTCTGGGCCCATTGGTGTGCAAAGGCAGGATTTTGGGGAGAGGGGAATCCAGCAGGGAAATGCTAGTGGGAAGTTCGGGGGAGCTGCTCTCCCTGGTGCCAACAAGCGCCCAGCAATGGGAGAAGAGAGGCCGCTGCCCACCTTGTTAACTGCACTGAACTGTGCTCCCAGAGACTGCAGCCCGGGGGCCACCCGCCGCCACCCCGCCCCTGCCAGACGGCTCCGGCCTGAGAGTGCAGGCGGCCAATGGCAGCCCCTCGCCCGGCACGTCACGGGCTGCAGGGGGGAGATTGGAGGGCGGCCACATGAAAGAGGAGCGGCAGAACTTTTATAGCTGTTAAAGTGCGGGAGACGCCTGCAGGGTCCCCGAGTCCCATCGCGAGCCTGCTGCCCTGCCTCAAGCATGGAGCCCGGGATCCCATCTCCCACCCTGAGCCTTGCACTGGTGGTGCCTGAGCCTGGGGCTGGGACCCTGGAGCCTGGACCCCACCCCTGAGGCTGGAGTTGGGACCCTGGAGCCTGGATCCCACCCCTGAGGCTGGAGCTGGGTCCCTGGAGCCTGGACCCCACCCCTGAGACTGGAGCTGGGACCCTGGAGCCTGGACCTCACCCCTGAGGCTGGAGCTGGGTCCCTGGAGTCTGGACCCTGAGGCTGGACCCAGGTCCCTGGAGCCTGGACCCCACCCCTGAGACTGGAGCTGGGACCCTGGAGCCTGGACCTCACCCCTGAGGCTGTTGCTAGGGCCTGAGCTCTGGGGCGGTGTCTGGAGCCTCCCAGGGTGCGTATGCCCCCTTGCCCTCTGCAGCAGTTTTATGGCTCCCTCCTCCCTGAGGATGAATCCTTGCCAGAGGTCGCTGAGCCCGGAGACAGCCTGCACAGAGACCAGCAAAGGAGTGGCTGCCCTTGCCAAGGGGAGCCCCCTCGCTGAGGAGGAGTTGCCCAGAATGGGCTCCAAGGCACCGGGATGCAGGGGCCAAACCACCTCCAGCCCTCTGCTGCCTTTCAGTGTGGAGTCCCTGCTGATCACAGAGCGCAAGCTGTGTCCCCGGAGCAGCCGCCCTCACCAGCCACACCCTGCTGCCACTGCCGAAGTGCCACCTGCCCGGGCCCAGAGCAGCTTGTACACTGCAGAGTCAGGCCAAGATTTCCCAGAGCAGCGGGCTAAGCAGCAGCCACCAGCAGTGGAGAGTCCTGGTGACAAGGAGCCCAACTCCTGGTTTGCAAAGTCTGCCTGTTCTCCACCAAGTAAGTACCTAAAGTTACCCTGCACCTCTGTGTGTCAGAGCACAGAGCCAGCCTGGGCAACTGTCAGTCCAACTAGCGGGACACCTGGCACCCCCTCCCCTGCCAGCAAGAGCAGCAGGGGAGCACTAAACTCATGGGGCGTGGGTTCCCTCCCTTGCTGGTATGTGACCCTCTCCCCACCTGAGATCCCAAGCCAGGCTCACCTGTGGCCTCCTCTGAACAGCAGAATGGTCAGGACCCGGTCCCACCAGTGGGAAGGGCATGTTGCCCGCAGGATAGTAGATGGGGAGACAACAGCCATTCAGCGGGCCCTAACTCACCCCAGCCCCTCGCTTGTGCTGCGAAGCTCCAGCCAGGCTGAGGTGCCATCGCTTCACCCCCGAGCTGACACTAAGGTGGCTGCAGCTTCCCATGCTCTGTGCCTACGAGTCCTGTGTGAGCAGCACAGCCCGACCCAGGCTCCTGCTGGGACCTACGGCCTCCTGGTAGAGTCTGCCAGGCCATTGGCCCTGCCATCACTCTGTGCCCCCATCAGCCCTAGCCAGCCACTCGCTTCTGAATAGTGGGGGAAAGGCCCAGTGCTCTCCCCTGTAGATAGCGCTGTACATTGCTAATGGTGTGCAGGCTACCTGGACCTGGCCTGCACTCCTCCCTTGGGGGTCCCACCTGGGCCCAGGGCCACAGCTCACAGCACTTGGTGCCTGGCTGTGAGCTCAGCTCCTATGCCCATGCCCAGGCCAGGCGCACGGTGAACCCCATGGCTCTGACCCCAGGCAGTTCTGCCCCTGTAAACTGAATGGCACTCTAGTCACTCAGTGCAGCTGGGCACTGGGAACCCCATGGGCAAGGGAGGGACCTGCCTGCTTTCTCCAGTTGAGACAGGAGCTCCTAGGGACTGACATGTGGAGCCTGCATGCCACAGTGCCCTGGTCCCTGATGGCCAGTGCTCCATCCACATCCCAGCTCAGCATTCCTGGTTCCACGCATGAGGGAGTCTCTGGGCCCCAAATAGGGGCTTTGTGAGTACCTGTCATGCGGTCACAGGGGAAGACCTGCTCTGTGCCATGCTGGGTTCCCAGCCCTGAGGGAGCTAGCCCCACTGGGGAAACGCACATTCATGGCAGGGCTGGAACCCAGGATGGACTCCACGTCTGAGGTGGGTAGGGTAGGAATACAGGGCTGGAGGGTCCCGGAGATTGCGCCTTTGGCCTGGCAGCCGGGCCAAGGCCGCTCCCGATTAAGCAGCTGGGCTGTTTTGTTTGTGTCACCTTGCAGGGCAGCCAAGCCCTCCACCCTGCACTCTGAGGAAGCACAAGAACAATCGCAAGCCCCGCACGCCCTTCACCACCTCGCAGCTGCTAGCACTTGAGAGGAAGTTCCGGCAGAAGCAGTATTTGTCCATCGCCGAGCGGGCTGAGTTCTCCAGCTCCCTCAATCTCACAGAGACCCAGGTCAAGATTTGGTTCCAGAACCGCAGGGCTAAGGCCAAGAGGTTGCAGGAAGCAGAGCTGGAGAAGCTCAAACTGGCCACCAAGCCCTTGCTGCCCTCTTTTGCCTTGCCCTTCCCGCTGGGAGCACACGTGGGCTCCCCCTCCCTGTATGGAGCCACCAGCACTTTCCCCGGTAGAGCAGCCCTGCAGCCTGTCCCAGGTCTCTTCACAGCGCCAGTCACCTATGGCATGTACTACCTGTCCTAACAACCTGGTGCAGGGACCAGGGTCTGTGTGCCCCGGCCTGTGCTGCCGCACATGGGGCGGGCAGCACAATATGCGGGCCTGCAAACCCACTTCTTCGCTGGTTGCTGATTGTGGACTAGCCCCCTTCTGACCAGCATGCACTGAGTGGCTTACAGCTGCTGAGGGTCAGTCCCTGGCTGTGGAACAGCAGGCGAAAATCCACTCAGAATAGTGTTTGGGCTTCAACACTGAAGGATCGCTGCCTCCCAGATTGTAGGCAAGAAAAAGTTCCTTCCCCATGGGCTCCCTCACTGCAGCACTCCTGTGCAATGCACTTATTCCCAGACCAGCTGGCACAGGGATGATTTTAGCTCAACTGTGTCAGGTTCCTCTTGATCCTGGGGTGAATCTGATCCTGTCTCCCAGCCTCTGAACAGGGGAGACCTGATCACAGTACGACAGGAAGTTCCAATCTAGTTGTATTGGTCTCTAATGGCCTTTCCTCTTAGCGTCTTCCCTCTCCCAAGCATATCCTAGTCTAGGGGAGCTTGTCCCTGAGTGTTTACAACAACCCACAAGTCACTGGTCTCGATGCTGGGGTTGCAGAGAGCAGGTCTCTGGCCTGTGTTGGTCTGACTGACTCAGTGTGATGGTACTGTGTGGCCTGAACACCTGTGGATGCTATTGTGCTTGACACGGATACTGCAGCACTGCGTGAGAAGCCTGGTGCTTCCCCTGCTCCCAGTGCTGCATGGCAGAGCGCGAGGTGTTGAAGGACGAGAGTAAAACAGCAGAAAGCAGAGACCGTTCACCCCTGCCCACCAACACACGCACATTCTTCCAGAACCAGCTTGGGTTTAGTTAATTAGCCCTCCTCAGTGACCTCCTCTTCTCCCCCCCCCCCCACCCCGACTACCCCTCTGCAAGGCTCCCTCTGGCATGAATGAGTTCCACCCAGTCATGACTTCACGGTATGGGACCAATGGGCCTGACTCTACACCCATTATTTCCTGAGCAGCCAGCCCTACGGAGTCACCCTATTGCGGGATGGAGCTCTGCCAGGTCCGTGCTGCCTTCCGTAGGGCTGGCAGTGACTCGAGGCCAGGTCCCTTAGTGCTCTCTTGCTGTAAATAGGGGACAGTCTGATTTTTGTATTGGTCACGAGGGGGCTGTATTTCAGGATACTAAGCTGTTTATAGGTGAATGCTCACTAGTATTCACAGATGTCTAGGCTGTGTGCATTTCAGCCCATGTGAAAGACACAGAGCTAATTCCATGTACATAGTTTGGGTTTTGTACAGAGCCCTGAATGGGCTGGGGCAGAAATCTCCCTGTTTTGTACAAAGCAGCCAGTCAATAAAGCCTCTAAGTTAATCAAGGCAGCGGTGCCGCTCACAGCTTTGTTCTTAATAAAAAATATTGTAGCTTTCCCCAAAATGTAACAAACAGTCTCCTAACCAGAGACCACCAGAGCCAGTGTATTCAGCCTGCACAATGAGGCCTGCCTGCTGGGCAGAGCCAAGAGGGATTCCTGTAAAATACCACACAGATTAGCCAGGTCTGCCTGCCCAGCAGGTGTCAGGCTTGTGCCGCACACACAGCACTGCTCCTTGCCCTGCTGGTGCAGTAATTCTTGGGGCTCTTTGGATGTACTGCAAAAAGCTACCTCCGCCATTGCTCCAGCCAGCTACTGTGCACTGCCACTGCTAGAGGCGACCCCCAGCCATCTCAGAGGAGTGACCAGAATAGAGGTAGCTGCCCCACCGGAGAGCAGAACCACTTCTCCAGGTGTTGGAGGCCTCCCATTTGCCAAGGGTCTTGCTCCAAGTCCCCAGGCAATGGCTCCGGTCCACTCTCTAGCACTCTGAAGCCCTGCTTCCCCCCTGCCCACACACACACCACACAGTGTTGGGGCTGCTGCTCTTGTGGTGCTCCCCAGCTCACTGCCTATCTTCCTGGCCCAGGGCTTATGGCAGGAAGGGCGCAGCCTGGGGCTGCTTACCATTGGGAGGAAGTAGGGCAAGCCCAGGCTCTGGCCAGAGCTTTAAGTGTGTCTTTTCAGCCACAGCTCTTAAGAAGCTTCCTGAGGTGCTGCCAGAGAAGGCCCCAGCATGGTGTCAGGGGAATGCACCTCTCTGGGTGACCCGTCACACTGCCCCTACCCTTTGCAGGAGGCTTTGGGAAACCTAGGGTCCCTTCCTGCTCCCAGGAATGATGGGGTGGGGAGGGGTCCTACAGCTCACTGCCCCTTAAGCAGCCCTGTGGGTCCCAGGCATTTGCCCTGCTCCCAGTCAGGGAAGGCTTGGTGCCTAGCAGCCATTCTTAACTGGAAGCCCATGTCTCAGACTTTGTCATGATTCTAAACGTGTAGCAAACAGTGTGTGTTTGCGCTAAGCAGCATCAGCCCTCGGAACAGGAAATTACTAGTATTTCTTGGAGACCTGTCAAGTTTCAAACTGTGGCTGGCTGTGTGGAGTAAGGGGCTGGGGCTCCAGACCTGCCTTTGCTCTTCCTTTAGGCACTATTGCCACCTGCTGGATGCCAGACACTCTGCACCGACTGGGCTAGAATCCATCCCTTGAAGAAGCTACTGCTACAGCACTACTCAAGCCTCTGTGGGAATGGTTCTAGCAACTGCCCTCCAATGCCCAGTCCTTCAACCAGTTCTCCCCATACCTGCCCTCTCCTGCTCTGAACTGCCTCTGCTTTACTGCAGCCTCTAAGGGAGTGCTGTTGGGCCACATCCACAAGGGTTGCCTTCAAGACACTGAGGCCATAACCTCATGTAGCAGTTGTGCTCCTCAGGAATGATGACACTTTCCACTGGAAGAGTGAAAGGTATGAGAGCTGGAGATAGATTTCTGCTCAACAGCCCCCCAACTGTAGAATCCCTTCCAAGAAGAGATTAGAGTAACCAGATCTCATTGCCTTCAGGACAAAACGTGAGACTCACTCCTTTGACAAAGTCTCCCCATTACAATAATGTTTTTGGCAAAGTGGCAGTGATGCCAATATTTCAAGTTACCTAATCCTTTCCATTGTAATTTCCTAGACTCGCTGCTTATAATGTCAACAGACGTTTCTTTTGAAAGTTTCAGCAAATTAGGTTAGCCATTTTTAGATCCAGATCAATAAAAAAATAGATACTTTCACCAATGCTAAAAACATTTTCAACACTGGTTTAAACATCCCTAGGGCCGTGCATCAGGAACTGGACATTTGGCAAAGGGATACTCGTAGAGTCAGAGCAGTGCCTTTCACCTCCTCCATAAAAAATCTCTTGAGATTTGTAAGCCATAGGAAATATCCTTTGGCACATGCTTGTTATTTTTTGAACATTCCTACTGCACTGAGCTTGCTTCCAAGCCCCCCTGAGCCTTCTTCATTGTTTCCAAACAACTGCATAGACTAACAGTGTCAGTAAAGTGGTAGGGCAGGAGCATGCCAGCCCTGCAGCTGTCCTTTGGCCACAAGGAAAGTAGCTAGGCTGGGAGACACAAGCCTGTGAACCCTAATCACTAACAGTTAATATCGAGTAGGGTGTCATACACCTGCTTTAAGATAGAGGCATCTTCATAGATAACTGGTGATCAGTAAAGTTGCACAAGGGCACTTCTGGGGGAGCTAGGAAGAGAACCCAGGCCTTATAAGTGGCAGACCTACTTTTCAGTCACTTAGCCATACTGTGTTTCGGAAAGTCTGTGTTAAATCTGTGTGCTTGGCTACGGTGGCCCAATTCATTCCTGCAGCAGTGAAGTATTTGCCACAGGGGACAAGGGGAGGGAGCTTGTACGTCCCTTTATGGAGGTGCAGTTCAACCAGCACAAAGGGGCCACAAAGCACTGATGAATCATGCTCCATGTCTTCAAAATGGGGCTACTCCAACATACCACTCTTCACAAATAGGTTTGAGACCCACAGATTAATGAGCACATTGTAAATGCAAAGCATTTAAAAGCAAAGACCACTCAGAAGTGCTAATTTGCAGGTCCCTTCTCTACTCATTAGACCACACTCCCCCACCAGAGCCAAGAAAGAACATGGACCCACATTCCCAGCATTCTACAAATGTCTACAAAACAGTGGTTTAACCCACTGGCAAAGGGTGTGTTTTATCCCTCCCAGTAAAGGCTATATCAGGCTGTTGTATAGCTAAAGAGTGGGGGTCCAGGGAGCAACTGAGCTATGGTGTTTAAAGCCCTTGTTTACTGTTACAATGTTAAATTGTAATGTTAGTCCCAGCTCCCACTGTGAAGAACCCCCTTTAAAATCCCTTTTATTAAGCTTGCATAAGAAAGGAAAACAATTAAAACATTCCAAGCATAAAAGGTTACACAGTTTAATTTCAACATTTTCCCCTATTCTGGCCCAGCCTTTTAGCTGTCTAGACTCTCCTAAAGACATGGCAGTCCTTGGCAGGATGTTAAAGATGATGTTAACTGTCCTAATTGGGAAGAAGAGACAGTCCCATTAGGCCATCTCCACTGAAACAGCAATTTATAGTGCTTGTTTTAGGGCCAAATCAGCCTCAGTCAATAACTGTTTTTAGGTGCTTCATTTTGCATATCACACAGTAACTAGTTCCTTACTGCACCATGTAAACTCTCTCCAAACTGGCAGTGCTCTGTTACTTTCCTTAATTCAAGCACATACTCAGAAATTCTTTCATTGCCTTTTTGACTCCATTTATAAAAGCAGGAATAGGAGTACTTGTGGCACCTTAGAGACTAACCAATTTATTTGAGCATGAGCTTTCGTGATGAAGTGAGCTGTAGCTCACGAAAGCTCATACTCAAATAAATTGATTAGTCTCTAAGGTGCCACAAGTACTCCTTTTCTTTTTGCGAATACAGACTAACGCGGCTGTTACTCTAAAAGCAGGAATGACTATGATCACCATGGCTTTTGGGAACAAGCGAGTTTGTAGAATTTCTACATAATCAGCAAATATTTTGGCTGCAAGTTTAAGAAGCTGTTAGTCTGCTTAGCAAGATGCACGTTTTAGCTCATTATGCTCAGTAAAACTAGGATTCTCTTCTCATCAATTATACCATTCGCTCGTCTATCCTGTTTCAATCTCTTTCTAGAGGCGGGGCCAGTCTGCTACTGAACTACCAAACAAGTCCATTCCCCCCAAAGTGCCAGACATTTTTAACACAATTTTTCTCTAAGTGAGCAGATCACTTATGGTCTGAGTGCTGCAAAGTGCAGTTCCCTTTTTAGTTGCACTGTCCCTAGGCTGCTCCCTATTCCTGACTGTATTCCCAGATTACGATCCCTGCCTTGCTGCTAAAGTGTTGTCTCTCTTGCTCTTTACGCAACAAACAGGGCACGAAGGAACCATACAGGCACAGTGGAATCCAACTAGCAGTGTTTATTCAATGGACACAATATGCCAGACCTAGCTCCATACACACATTGCCACACTGGTTGTGTTCTGGCAACTTCTAAAATATAGAACAGTGAGTACCACTAGAGGGCTCACAAATTATTTAAAGGGATATTACTTTGTTCCTAAACCCTAGAAACTATAAGTGGTATGCTGCTTGGTCTATGGGTTTGATTCTGGCTTTGGGTGTCTGGAGCTCCTGGACTATACTGCACAGGACTTTGTGATGTGTGATACTCTCGGTCATTCGTTCCAAACTCCCACTCCCCATGGGGTGGAGACCCCTCCCACAGCTGTTGAGGCAGCAGGAATGGATTCAGAAACCACTGCAACTGCTTTATCAGCAAACAATCACGGTCATCTGTGAACAAAACCGCCTGAAGAACCCTTCCAACCAGGAGGCATCTTACCAGGGCCATCTCCTTTCTTTGGGTTATGGCGCTTCCTTCTGGGGCTGAAGCCCTGCAAATCTGCACGTGCACAGGGACCACACAGGAGGTAGGGGGCTATGGGCTGGGCAGTAGCAGGGCTGCATGGTACTTCTCCCTGCACTCTCTGGGCTGTGCCCTACCCAGGAAAGAAAGTGCTGAGAGGTACTGAGGCCCAACTCCCAGAGAGCATAGGGAGAGGCACCATGCAGCTCTGTAGGCCCCTAGCTCCATGTACAAATGCCCACATCCTGGCTGCAACCCTCCCCACCGCTGCTGCCTTGTGAGCAGGCAGGTTTGCACGGCTGCAGCCTCACAAACCTGCCTTCCACATAGTGTATTAGCAACTGATGGATAAAAGCACTTTTTTGCTGGTGACCAAGGGGTTGCTAATAAGTGGAATATACTGTAGATACAACTGAACTTTTAAAACAATAAACTAGCTGCTTTCTAACTAAGGTATTTCCTCTGGGTTTGGGAGAGTTGTTCTTTCATGCCTTGCTATTATGGGCTGTCAGTAGTGATACCATAGTTCAGGTTTCGTCAGTATTTTCTGATTTAA